ACTGTCAGAGAATTGGATTTGGCATCACAGTTTTTTATTTTTTTTATTTTTATTTTTTTTTTGGGGGGGGGCAACAACATAAATGAACAAATAATTAATTGAGGTAAGAAGTTTGAAATATTTCAAATGAAGGTAGCAAAGGTAGAAATCATTTCAACACGTTCATGTTAGAATGGCTTCATTCATACTGTCAGTGTTTAGGGTTTTTTTCTTTAATGAATACCACATCAATTTTATTTATAGAGCCCAATATCACTAATTTGGCTCAAGGGGCTTCACAATCTTTACAGCATACTCACAGTCCTCAGACGAGATGAGGAACTGGGCGAAAAAAAGAGTGTCAGTAGCAGAATACAGTGAAATCTATTTCAATCAGGAGAGATATTTAGTGACATCTGCATAAAGAATTCTTAAGACACATCTTCTCTGCAAGTATTTATTTATTTTTTTTCAACTGATAGGAAATTATTCCCCTCTTATCTTCAGCATAATTCACATTATTAAACAAAGTAGCACAAAATGTGTGCTGCAGAAAAATTATTTGATTCTTAGGTCTCCAGGGATAAAACGAAGGGCATGTATGAGAAGGAGAAGATGGCACAAAGGCAATTTGAAGGTATCCTGTAGACTTGAAGACCGTCATTAGTGCTATGTGCCATTCTTGTGCACATGCACAGGTGACATGACAGTCCTGCCAAAGTTTTCACAGGAAAACATGTGATATGAGGAAAGAACTGCATTCAAGAGATTTGCTAGACCTCAAAGATACACACCAAGCACTTTGGTGATCAAGAAGGGACACCTTTAACAAACTAAGTCTTTTCTTCACTTTTTATAGTCTACCTTCATAAGCATTCAAAATGCAACATCTGTTAGCAAGCTAAAAATCTGTGATCTGTTAGATAATGTATATTGTTGTATCACTTATAATCATACTGTGTGGGTAGAGTTTAAATCACCTAATAAAGCACCTACTGACTAGCTTGCAGAATCAGTCAGATAAGTTATGGTCTTTAGCATAAACTCTAAGAAACTGTATTAGTTGGCATGTCAAGAAACCAGTTGAATAGCAATACCAACATTGCAACACTTACTGAGGGTTTCATGAAAGAAAGGGTGTTTTTTTGTAGCCATAAAAATGCAGAAATTGAGTCTAATTAACAGGATACTGCCTCTATCAGGACATTGGACAGTGCTTCTTAAATGAGAATACCTGTTTTCCAATGACCGTACAAACAACGGTAGACTTGAAATAGCCCTACACATAACTATATCTACTTAATGTTAGCAGTGTCTGCAATAACATTACATTTAGAGAGGGTTTTTACAAATTCAAACTAAAAGAAAAACCTGCTAAGCAATTCAACTTTCTGAATAAATTATGATAACTATGCATTGTGTATCCCACTGTAACCATAATGTTTCATTGTTGGTGATTATTTCTGGTCCATTGTCATTCAAAGCAGATTAGTATTAATTGATATGGTAACTGTTGGGATGTAATCAATCAAACCAAAGCAAGCAGCCATTTAAATTCTGGCAAGGTGTGCAAAAGTACAGAACAAACAGAAATCTCCCCTTTGTGTTAATATGACTTCAAAGAAAAGAACAAAAACTTTCTGTTAGGGGACAAAACCTTTCATCTGCTTGTCTGAACATTCTCCCATACATGTGTGGAAGGAAAAAACAGAAACTAGAAAACAGCTGTTTGGTTTCATAATAAATATAAACTGTTCCCTTTTCATGAATTTTCTTTTAATAATAATTGATATTGATAATTCTATTTCAGGACTGCATAGTTGCCTTCAAAACAGCAATATGTAGGACATAACACATTTGTTCTGTTTGAGTTATAACACTCTGATCCCCAGGCAATGTATTTTCTTCCAAAATGCAAGCATTGCACTTTGTATGCACCAAACGTGACGAGAAAATGAATAATGACAGCAGAGAAATTATATATGATCTGCTGTCACAGCCGTGTATTACATTTTCCTTCAAATGTGGTTTGGCATAGAAAAATATTATGCATTGTATAGAATATATGAATACATTGTACTCTCTTACATTCAATCACATGCTGACATTGAAAATCGGGACTGTTAAACTTTCAGCATCTGCTATGTTTTTGCTGCAGTAATTGAAGGATTGTTTAGGACGGATGAGTTATTAATTCTGCACCACGTCACAGGTGTTGACGATATGAGAAATGTGTATTTTCTTTCTGCTCACCCCATCCGATGAGTGTGAAGCCCCAGAGGTATTTTGAGTCTGATCGGAAGGCCATGAAGATAAGACTGTGGAGGTAGAGGCCTTCTACCAGGATCCAGTAGTAGTTGGTTGCCAGGAAATAGATGAAGAGCAGCACTGTCACCTTGCAGCCAATCTGATAACAAAACATTAACACTTTTATCACACCATATTTCTCACTGCGATCACAGTAGTTCACACAAACTATTCTTACACAACAAATGCCGCTAAGAGCGCAGATGATCTTATTACATTTTGAAGCACTTATATATATCTGCAGAGCAATGAAGAAAAGGACACAGCAGTCAAACTGTAAATACAAGATTTATGTTAAAGTCCAGGTGAAATTAACTTGTATTAATAGCTAATGAAATCGTGTTTTTGAGTTTTAGTGAGCCATGCTGATATAAAAATACAAAGAAATTGACATTTTATAATTTTATTTGTCATACATTGTTAAATAGGGGTACAATATAACCAAGGATGCAATCTTAAAGGGTTGAAATTACATTTTTTATTTTACCTGGAGAATGGAGAAAATATTGTCTGTTTTTTTTATCTGACGTCCTCTGACTGCTTTGCCTCAACTCCGCTAACTGCTCATGTAGCTGCCGTTGGCATGCAACTGAACGGGGCTCAGCAGCCTCCCAGTGAATACCGCAGTACCGAGGAGATTTATTAAGTTTCCAGATGGACTTGTCACCTGGACTTTAAAAAAAGCCATTAAATCTATTCAAATTCAAGCACGGATACTCACTTCTGGCCCATTTTACAGACCATTATTTTCCGTCTCTAAATATCTAATTTTAGAAATAAAATCACTACGTAAAAATAAAGCATCCAGTAGTATATATGTGTGCAGCTGATGTTGAAGAGAGCAGAGAACCACCCAAACAATAAAATAAAAGCAGCGTGGTTGTAGGTTTATGATAATAACATGTAAAACTCAACCCTGTGACTACACTCACACTTCCAGCAGGTAAATTGGTGGAACTGTCCTACAGATATGTTTATTCTGGTTGGAACAGAAATCATTGTGCATTGACCACACTGCTGCACTCATTGTGTTGATCTTGATGTGGGTGTGTTATGAATATTATGCCCACTTCATACGGTTTGATTTTGACGAGTGAATCATCATCTATGACAGAAAGCTAGCAGACAAATCTATCCCTACATCTGTTAGGACACACAGACAGATCCTCATAATATACTGACATCAGGCAAATATCTCAACCTAAACTCTCTGTGCTCATTGCTATTCACATCCATTGTAATGCAGTGGTGGAAGGTTGCTGAGTTTAAGCAAATACTGTTCTTACTGTATTTGTCTGACAGCTAGTTATTTTGCAGATTATATTCTTTCATACCCTTCCTTTCCAGTAAAAAAAAAACACAAAAAACAGTTTTCCTCTATGGAAAGTGTTCCTTTATGGGTTCAAAATACTTCTTCAGCTAAATCAACTATTTAAAACCCTTCTTAGATGAGCTAGAAAATGTATTGTCATAAAGGTGAAAACAGGACTGTTTTTCTGAGCTCATTAAAACTTTTTAGAGATGCGTGGTTCACACAGGACAGTCACACCACAACATGTGATGATCTTATAGAATATGATGCATTGCTGTAGATTAAACTACCTACACAGTATATAAAGTGGTTAAAATGACCTCAACCTCAACTCATAAGCAGTAAAATGCAACAAATTAACGAGCAGTGATATTAATAGTCTGCAGAATGAGTACTTTTTCTTTTGACAACCTAAGTAAATTAATAATACTTACATACTTTTATTTAATGAGGTTTTGAATGTGAGACAAATATTGTAGTAGAGTATTTTCAGAGTGGTATTTAAAGTAAAGAATAGTTTTTCCACCACTGTTGTAATGAGGAAACTGACTCACTGGCAAATGAGAGAAACAGTTAACAGCACTATAGAATAAATTAAGCAAAATCATACAGTTGACCACCCAATCATGATAATTAATGAATAAATTGTCATCTGCATTCCCTCTTACAATGATGAGAAACAAATTATGATTCAGAGCATTTTATATATGTCTTGAAACATGTCTGGGAGGATCTTAAAAGTTAGATAGTATTCAATAAAAATAAATAATACATGCACCTTTAACACCAAAAATAAATAGATTTCCGGAAGCCCCAGAACTAATTCATATTCAGTGTGGATGTTTTAACTATGTAGTATATGCACTTGAATCCAGTAAAAAAAAAAAATATATATATATATATAATTTACTGTCTGCATGTGGTGAATGCAAGACCACAAACACTTGGAGACACATGTACACGCTGGCTGCACATGATGACAGCTCATATATTAGTCCCTTAAAAGGATGCACTTCATAGTATAAATATATAAATAAGTGAGAATAAACATAAAATACAAATGATTATTGCTTGATTTTAGCACCATTTTATGAAAGATTTTCAAGGGCCGGGATTAAAAAACATGGTTCAGTGCAAAATAATTGCTTTCACTCTTTCAGGTTTTCAAACTTACTGGTAACCTGACACAATTATTTATGACTCAAATCACCTAAATGAAACAAGCGATCCTAACCTTTGTCACCAATTAGGGAATCCTAGATCAAACTAAACACATATTAATCATTCAAAAGCAACATTATGAAATACCCCCAATCCATACAAAAGAAATTAGATAAACTAAAATAAATGGGAGCGCTTTTCTTTTTCTCACACATGACTCACGACTGGAGCTGAGTCACTGATTAAATTAGCCGTTTAATGAAATAAAACAAAAGGACATTTTAAAAGACATTCATACTTAAAAGCATGTCTGTTATTTTCAGCCCAAAAAGTCACCAATGGGAAATTTGTTGTGGATGTGTACTGTCAAAAAGAAACCATTGCCTGGAGAGTTTTAATGATGAAAGTATTTTTGCTACAAAGCAGCCACAGTTTTAAGATAACTGTTTTCTTTTCACTCTACATGTGCAACTCCTGCAGATGCCAAGTCAGTATATAATCCATTACGCACCCTGGGCATCTTTTATGTTTTTGTCTGTCAGTGTGTGATGGCAGAGGTGTATTTCTTTCACCACTTGGAGGAAATTGGAGAAAGTGTTCCTTACAAAAGAAAAACAAAACAAACAATTTTTCTTTTGAATTATCATGAGACACTTTGGCTATACATTTGGAAACTTTCACACAAAAAGGCAACTAGTTGTTGAAAAAACAAAGAAGACAAACCTTAATTTAATTTCAAAGTGCTAGAGCATCAGAAATGAGAAAGATGCCTCAGAACTAAAACGGATTAGACTGTTTTTGATCACATGGTGTCTCCTGCTAATGTTCCTTCTTGTCTTTTACAACTTTCAACTACTTTACTTTCAATTACCTGCATACACATGCACACTGCTGGATTCAGCCTCAGGGTATCTGTTTATCTTGCAAACCTCCCAGTTTTTTTTAGCAAAGGTTGGGGTTATGTTTGGCCTTGAAAGTTGTTTCTCGAGAATGTTACTGATGATCAGCACTGAATTTAGATAATTATTGTCATTGCGATATTCAGTTAATTAGTTGGACTCTCTTTCTGAAACACTAAGCATACTAATGCATTTCATTAACACAGTTATCAGAGCTGTGCGTTCTGTGTGTTTAGAGTTATAATTAAAGCACTATATGGTGTAATTGCATTGAAATTCCACATCACCGTCTATAGTCTGGGTTTAATAAGGCCAGGTAATTACCTCCAAAGCGTACAGTACTCAGGACTCACTAAGAGGAAATTAAGCTACATTTCACAAAGGGCAACCAACAAGCAAGGGAGGAATAAACAAGTAAATAAATACATGCATATTAACTGTTAGCAGGGTCCTAGCACATAGGTGAATTGCCAAATTGCCTGAACAAATGTGAGCACTTCAAAGCCCACGTTCAGACATGTTTGTGAGCTTTAATTACACTGAAAGAGAGAATAATAATATAAATGTTTAAATTGTGCTTCGAGTAACAGCACAACTTTATTAAATCTTAGCTTGTGATACTGCCAGCATCTTTGATGAACAGATGAATATTAATATCTATATTTTCTATTTTAAATCAAGAAGTCCTGCTTAGTCACAGTTCTTACTGACTATAATAACACCATACGTATGTATGTAGCCAAGGGCAGGGACAGACACACAAGAATTAAATGCTTTTACTTTTGTTTGTATGTTTATGTAAACAAACATGTAAATGCAAAAAGCTGCACTGTATTATACACAAATGTATTTATATGTCTGCTTCAAGCCATTGACAGTACATATAAAGTATATATAATGGACAGAGCTTCCATCCTAAAAATCTAACAGCAGCAGCTGGATAGCAGCTGAAGAAGGTAACTGCTAACAACAAGCATAGCCAAGGCTATATTTCCATCAGAAAACTCCTGAAATCACTGAAAATTGAAGCAGAGCAGCCGGAGGACATCAGAGTGTTGTTTCAGACAGAGGATGAACTGAGGGGCTGCATGAAGGACCAGTATAAGATAAATAAGGATGTTTTATAAAGAACTAATCATGCTACTCTAGTGGAGTCTCAGACAAACAATATATAGCTGCAAATCAGGTCCCATTTAAGTAGTAAAAAAAAAGGATCTGATTACATCAATAGATGTAAAGGTGATTTTCTAAAATCATTATGTATAAAAACACATTCTAGTCAGCTGAAGTAAAAGTAAGGCATTGGAGTTTCACAAATTAAAGTTACAGTCCTTTTAGTAGGTAACAGAATTCAACAAAACGTTTGTGTTACTTTCCCTCTGCTGCCACTCGTCCCTGAAAACACAAAGAGTAAAACACAATTGCAGCTTTCATACAAATGCCGAGAAGTGACTCAACCCAACAGGTGTATCATTATATTGAATCTACACACATACCAACTACGTGCAATCCACGAATACAGCCAGGACTTTATTCTGCTTGAATGGCAAGTCTGATTCTGGGGGCGTACAGTCATTCTTTGATGTTTGTAAAGCAAATTTCTATGACCAGGGCACTTAAATCACTTAGCACTTCATCAGACCCACAGAGACCTAAGAGTGGAGTAGAAGTAGAACTGGTACTTACATACTGAGACTTGTCCAGTGGTGCCATGCTGACTGTTTTTAAGTTATCCAACAGGGCTGAATCAAAGTCCTGCAATCCAGCACTGGAATGAACAACTTTGTCCTTCACAAAGATGCTGACAGCCCGTAACATGAAGGAAACAAACAGGTGCATGTGGATGTAGTTTCTGGTGCAGTGAAGACGTCTGCCATGAAAACAAATAGTATTCACAGTTATACATTTATTATTAATAGCACAAAATAATAAAACCCACAATTATATATATATATATATATATATATATATATATATGCAAAAAAACAAACTAGCTTACTAAGACAGATCTTTTAGTTAAGTACTACAGTTTTTTCAATTGCTAACATGCGTTTACGTAAACTTAAGATACTTTATCGAAACTCTTAACACAACAACACACTTACCTCAAACAGTTAGCCAAATAGTACATTTTCTGCTCAAAACCACATTTTGTTCTTTAAACACCAACTCTACATTTCAAAATGAAAAAAACATTCTCTATATACATAAACTCTATCAAAACACAGCAAACCTGATTCAAAATCAAATCATTTCTGTCAAAACACTAGCACGTTTTTTTTCCAAGAGAACAGATCAATCAATCATAGACCAACAACTTTCTAAATACAAACAGTTGATAGCATTACAAAAACTCCATTACTTTTCATGTTTCAGCTCGACCTGCAAACAGTAGACTGAGAAATCCATAGTTTTTTTAATTCAGTTCCTTTTACTGTAAACCACCCTAAATTTGTGTGCCTTTTTGGCAACAAACTATGCAAAAGTGAATGAGTCATCTTTACTTTATAGAATGTACAGTATTTTAACAGTATTATCAACATGAAATTGCAGCCAGTTGATCAACAATAATCCAAACTATGTGGCCTTTGATTCAAAATGTGTCAAAATACTGTCAGATACACAATTTGACAACAAAAAAAGAGCACAGATGGGAAAGAAAAAAAATGCACAGTCCTGTTCTAATCCATACGATCTTCAGCATTTGGCCACATGTTCTCATCCACATCACATCTAATGTCATCTCTCCGCTTATGCACCTTGGAGAGAAACGCTTGGCATGCCTTATCCACCCCTGGCAGTCTTCAGCTGAGATATCTCTGCCAGCCGGCATCCATTGCATCAAGTAGAGACATTTAGTCATGTGGCCAATGATCGTACACTTTCCACCTCCAGGAAGAAAAATATTCCTCAATGGGGTTGAGGAAAGGCGAGTAAGGGGGGAGGAAAAGGGAAACCATTCTTGGATGGGCCTCAAACCAGTTTGTGATTGCATGTGCATGGTGAAATGCAACATGCAATTACAAATGTCCTCAGGTTTCCTCCAACCTGTTCCCTTTCTGCTTCTGGCAGCTGACTTTCAGCTTTGTGACTGCATTTTCCTGCTGATCCAAGAGGGTTTTTAACTAGATTATTTAGCTTAAAGAGTAGTATTTGTTTAAACCCATAAAGAAACACTTAAATGTGGAGATATATAGGTTTTCACTGGACAGGAAGGGTGACGAGTAATTAAAGCTGTCAGACAAATTAAGTAAAAAGTATAATATTTGCCTCTGACATGTAGTAAAGAAAACGTATGTTCTTAGTGATTTACATTCCAGCACCATTCAGGCCAACTTGAGCTTGGATGTGATTCATGTTATTGAAGGTGAAAAAAAGATGCATGGGGAATAAAATCATTGAAGAAGATCAGGGAAAAAAGTAAAAGCCTTTGGTTGGGTCATCACTGAGGTTGATGGGAAAAGAAAACTATTAAGGTGGAATCTATCATAAAATACAGCCAACCACTTGGACACAGGTGAATCCACAGAGACCTTGTCAACTTCTGCAAGAGAGGTGAAACTGTCGATGGAGCACAGGCCTGTCCTGCAAATCATCAGCTCACCAAGTACCATGACATAGAGATCTCAGTTTAAATGTCAGTATCTCACTCAGTTTTCTTCGGTTACATTTCTGCACTTCCACTGCTTTCACTGACTCTCTAAGAAGCTGTCAATTTGTAACTCACTTCAACGTTAGGCGTAAGGGTCTGCACACAGCACTGGGCTCTGACACATTGTTGTCCTTGCAGAATTTGACAGAAGCTGGCACAGCACTTCTACGTGTATCTCGCTCTTTTTGAAATCTTGAAACGTGTTTTCTTGCTCTCAGTGACTGCAGAATTATCAGAAATTGTAGCTGCGGCTGGCAGTTGTTGGTGTTAGTACGAGTGTTATTGTTGTTGCTGCTTCCCAACCCCCTGTTCAATTAGTGCCAATGTCACCGTCGTCAGTTTGAAGAAAGTGTTTATTCGGTAATTTATTTTTGCTATATTTTCTATAACTTGCAGATATTATTCTATTTAATTTAGTTTAAAGCATTCATGCACATCCCATGGATATCTATGTTTTACTTATCTCATTACTGCGTGTACTATTCCAATAGTTGCTCAGCACTGTAATAAGCTAATTGCTGACTGTGGTTTGGAAAGTTTAATGTAGTGTAGCTGTATAAATAAAGCTTCACGTTGGGCAATGCCGACCGTTTACAGTGGCAGTATCTCTAAAGAGAGAGCAGAAATAACAGAAAAAGATGGGGGAAGCTGAAGAAGAGCACCAATCAAAGACTTGTAAGCTGCTTTATGAAGTCAAACACAGCAGATATAAGACCTGTTTGTCAAAAGGCATCTTGATGGCTCTTTGAAATGTTGGTCTGTTTGAAGTTTTCCTATTTAAACATGCAGCTCTGATCACATTGGAGGTTTTCCTGTCTAAGAAGTTAAATGTTGTTGACTTAACTTTCCACTTCCATCTCTCCTAATCAAATCACATACAACTTGCACTTGCTTTGGAAATGGTGGTATTAAAATGGAGACAGTTCCTTTTTACACCGAGTTCCCATGGAGGAAGTACTCATTAGCGATGCCAGTATGCTCACTTAGATGGACTACCCTTCTGTGGAAAGTGGGAGAGATGCCTTTAAAAGAAAATGGACAACACTGGTGTGGCCCTGAAATGGCCTCAAAATAAGATTCTTGTGATGTCAAATCACAGTCATTAGTCTCTTAATAGATGGTCATTGGGTTGTTGTTCACTCAGCAGCCTTTCTATATGACCAACATTTGCTGCTCTGGCTCTGCTGGAAATGATGTTTTGTAAGGGTTTTCTATCCTCCTCTCAGTCTGTCTCTCCCTGTCTGCTGTCTTTCCCTCCCAGGGTCTGGATATTAAGGCAGGGCCACTTCAGCTAAGTGGGCTCCTGTGTTACAGTTTCAAGTGGACAGGGATTTTGAAGTACTGATGGGATGATTACACCTACTGTAAAATGTCATAATGAACCTAAAGAGCCTTGCCAGTGGGATCACAATATTAAAGGCAGTTTAAAATGTTAAAACGTTATTTGTCATGCACGGATAGAAATGATCGTTCTCTTGGGTGCAAGTGGAGAAAGGTAACTCTTTCCTTTACTTAATTTTATTAATTACTAAAATAATTAAATTTGATGCAAATTACTTTTTTAATCTTAATTACTTAAAACTTAAACTTACTGCTGTTAAATCACATGATTTGTGAAGATACCGCCTAGATACAGCCTCAGATAGAGCAAATTTAAAAAGGTTGTTTTTACATCCTCAGTTTTTTCACAATATTGGATATCAGCTCTGAATCCAAGGTAACACTGTTGAACATGTATTCAACAGTCATTCCGCCTAGAGTTTCTACCCACAACTCTAAAACATTAAAGCAATATTCTTGTGTTGCTTGGATATAACCTTGCTTTTCAGTAATCATTTCATGGGTCTGTGTTTATCGAATAATTCCTTTATAATTTAAAATTATTATTTATCATTAAAACTCCAAAATAACGATTTAATTTGGTATTAATTGTAAGGGAAATATGAAAGAAAAGCTCCTCTTAAACCCACGTAAATGTATGGTGGATGTATGTATGTAATGTATGTATTTATTTTTTAACAATAGTACAAACTTTATTCCCATTATAGACTGAATTGTTGCTTTCCTGTAGACATATTTCACACTATTACATGTTCGTTAGACATTCTTTCCACTGACACTGACAAATATTCTCTGGGCCACACAACTGATTTACTGGAACTGATTTATCGGAAGTGTACCAATTGAACACTGCCTCCATTTCCTCTTTTATTAGCACTAAATAGTTGTTTCCAGAATGGCAACTTGCCAGTGAAGCTGTAGTAACAAAAACTGTTGCTCCACTTGATGCCAGAAACGTAGCCCATTCATCAACAAGAATTAACTAAACAAGTTCCAAGGCTTGGCCAAGGCCAGGTCACTTTAGTGCAATATTTATTCAATGATTCATCGTTCATTATTTTTTGTGCATGTAACATAAAGCTGGTCCCACTCAACCACACTTCAGTAAAGTGTACAGTTAACAACAGTGCAGGTGTTCAGCTAAAATGCCAGCAGCTCTATGGCTGGCAAATTAAGCCAATATGGTTGTAGCAAAAACAGACACTTGAGGCTGAAGTGAGTCAATCTCCATAATGAAATGCGTAACTTTATAGCAGAAATAAACATGTTTACAGCCTGGTACAAAAAACAGATTTGATCTCTAAAGCTAATGTTCTAGTTTATGACAACTGTATGAGGGATGATTTTTATATAACTTACCCCATTTAAATTATATAAAGGCTTAAAGTTATGTATAATTAAGGACATTTGAGTGACAGGTGTATTCAGTAACCAAAATAAACTCGGCCGGAGGAGTCAGGGCTGCCAAGGTGGCAACGGCCGTAGCCACCACAATTTAAAGCCTATATGGGAGAGAAAAAATGGTAATTTGTGGAAGCAACTTATTACAATACCATAATTACATAGTAATTATAGCAGAATCAGATAAGGGAAGCCGGGTGAGGTGAAGCATCCACATAGGGGGGAGGTGGATGGGCGGGTCAAACACAGGACTTTTACCCAGGAGATCACTGTTTGTGTCCTGTGTGAAACTTATCATATGTTATGTAACTGGCATAACATATTTAACTGAAGTCACATACGTTGCCTTTTGGTTTCACACAGGATACTGACGTACTTATTTTAACCTAAACTATGATATTTTAGTGTTGTTGCCTAAACCTTACCCAAACATTAACCACGACATTAACCATGTGACGAAGAAGGTCTGGTCTGACGAAGGTCTGGTCTGACGAAGGTCCGGTACGCCTGTTGTTGGTCACTGACAACCAACCTATTCAGTTGTTTTGGTATAAGGATGTGTTGGCCAGCTAACACGCCACTGTTCCCTTGCAAGGACAACCATGTGCATTTGTATCTTGTGTGATTTCTTAGGGTTGTTTACGTTACCACCCTAGGATTTATACTTTACATGCCTGTAGTGGTGATTTTGTACATGCAACACATACTCTAAGAAGTACTTTTAAAAAGATAATTATTTGACATCGTGTTTTTCAAAGTTTTAAGACCAAGCAACTGATTTTTAATCATTTAAGTATAAAAATGTGTCATTTGTTTCTATAATATCTCAAACAGAGAACTAATTACTCTGACATTTGGCGTACTGAGCTGTTCATGTAGTGAATGAATCAAACAATCAACAGTTTTAAATTGAAGTTCTTCATCCATCACATTCCCTAGAGATTTTGACATATATTTTGCATATCGTTTAGATACACACAATAAACATTTCTGTGTGTAGCATGATAGCAACCCTATAACCAGACAAGAATGAAAACCCTACAACTATGGCCTGAACTCATGGTTACAGTTAATAATTGAAGGTCTGTGAACTCTGGTCTACTATACATGAAAGTCAGACTCACAACACACCCATCAGCACCACTCACTTTCTCATTTCCTGCATTGGCACTGAATATTGGAATGAGGATGTAATTCCAAGGGATTTTGTACTGCATAATTGTCGCTCAGTTTTTCAGTAAGCTGACTTTAATTTCTTTGTCAAGTGTTTTTTTTTTTTTTTCTATCATTTCTGCATAATTTCACTGAGAAGGAGAGATGGAAAAACAGTATCAGGAAGTACCATAAAAACTTATATGAGCTTACAATAACAAGTCTTTAATAGCAACCACATGCTGTCTACTGGAAGTGCTTTAAATATACTGTACAGTCTTGTACAGGAAATGAGGAAGGGATGCAGAATCAGTTTCCAATCAGAAAAATGCAAATGGCAAGAGAAATGACTCAATACTTCATTGCTACTTTTTTGTTTTTCAAGCTTTCTATGGGGGTGTCAAAGCACTGTTCAGTTTATCAGTTAGAGAAAATCACTCGTGTTCATACTGTGTGGAGCAGTGTTGTCCACCAACACCATACTTATCACTCAACAATCGAATAATTAGCATGATGGCATTTTTTAAGTATCCTCAATTTAGCAATTTTGTCATTGTGAACACTGGAACACAGCAGGATAGCCAGGACACAAATATGCAGGCTGAAAAGAGATGCAGGTGTCAGAAATACAAATTGCAGTTATTGGAGGTTTGGAGACTTTTCAAAAACAAATTGAATAACCTAAAAAGTGTGTAGTTGTCAGACATGAAACATTGCTGTTGTTTTGGAGTTCCCAAAACTCACACTCATGCTCACAAGATACAAGACAGGGTGTGAAGATTCAGACACAGGAGAGGACCACCTCCTGCAGTTTCGTCTTCGTGGGATAATCAGGAGATTTTGTGTAGTAGTTTTTAGAAAGAGAGCACATATATATAGAAAAATGTCTCGTACCTGAAGTAACCAATGATGAAGATGGCCACCAACAGAGAGCTGAAGGACACAGCGTAGCCAATGGTATACATGACATACAACCGCTCAAAGAAGTCTTGCTGTGAACACAGAGAGAAATATTTTCTATTCAGTTCACTTTTCAGGTTAAAGCAATTCACAGAACAAACACATAAATAACTCACAGATACCTGGCTGCACAGGATGCTGCAATGAGAACACAAAAGCCCTCACCACTGATCTTTTGAGGTCTAATTATTTAGTATTTGCATTTTGACGGGAGAAAATAAAGGAATAACAGGTGCATAGAATATTAAATATGAAATTGATGCTAATAATGCTTCTATGTAGCTTGTTCATATGCAAAATTAAAGAATGTATTCATAATCCAACCCCAGAGTTCTTATTATGTCAGTGTGTGTTTTGTCTTAAGTTATTTAAAAGAGAAACAAGTCTAAGTATGTATGTGGCAGTCTTAAATCCTTAATCTCTGACAGACGAAGGACTTAACGGGATACATCAAGAGTACCAAAGCACCTGTTCTTCTGAAAGATAATGTCGTCTTTTCAAGCACCACTCAGACTTAGAGGAGCCAGAAGTTTCAGTCGATAACATGAACAAAAGATGGCTGCAACTCCATCGTTGGTACCTTTTCATTTTACACAAAGCAGATAAATGAATGTCCCCCAGGTGATAAGTTGGCTTCAATGAATAGGTTGAATTTCAAAAGGTCAGAAGCTGAATCAACTTAAAATTTGTGAAATTGTATATTAATACGGATTTAAAAGTAGTAGTAGTAACTATACTCGTATTTTGCAAGCCGCAGTAATTAATAAACAAGCAGTTTGTGGTCAAAGTCCGAGTATAGGCTGAAGTAAGATTTAAACTTTAATGCCAAAATATCTTTTAAAGGCTGAGCTTGTCAGTTACAATTGCACAATGGCCAAAAAAAAAAAAATGTTAATGGAAACAAATGGTGAATCAAAGCATCTGTATATGGTTTACATATGTTTGTGTCATTGATGTATAAAGATATCTGGCTACTGCTGCATGAAGTCTTTTGGGGATAATTTGCATCACGTGACATGGCCATTGCTGTAGTCACACAGTTCAGACACTATGTTAAATTGGCTTCAAAGCCCAGTGCTCTTCATGGGGGCTTGGTATATGTATGTACAGTTTATGTAGTGTATGCATGTGTATGCAGTCTCATGGTGGGTTGCAGTCTGTTGGGAACAATGTGGTATTTCTATAAATAGCTGCTCCTGAGTTTTCATCCCGAGTTTACATCCCTTCTCTTTCTACACTGAAGAAAGTTACATCTCAGAGGCGTGCTGTGTGTCTCACAAGAATCATCTGATCAAAATGAAAAGATCTAGTGAAGTTGAGCCCTCAAGCACAGCCTGTCAAATCTGAAATCAAGTCCAGTCCGGTCTTGACTATCCCCAGCAGGCAGTTGTGTTCACTTCCTGCACAACACTGAACAACAGGAAGACAAAGTAAGCAACTAATAAACATAGTGGAGCGCTTAGCAGCTAAAAAGCGAGATATCTCCATCTGGATATGGTTGAGACCAAAACATTGGACTTACATTTGCTAAGTGGGCAGAAACAGCACTCCAAATTAATACTGATGTAGCTCTGTGTCTGCAAGGTGTGCCACATCAAGCACATAAAGTGACAATATGTTCTGCTTCCCCTTAGTGGCCAAATTATCAATCAGTGCTGCTTTGAAATTACAGTTTCCCAAAAAATCTGACACAGATCACCGTGGCTCCATGGACAGCTTTGATGAGTGTTTACTCTTCTTGACATAGACTCTCCATGTGAACACTTATTTTTTTATTCTACTCTTCGAGCAGGGCTTTAATTTTTACTTTCACTCTTGTCAGTTTCTTGAAATGGATGACTTTCATTACTGTCTGACTTTTGAGTACAGTTTATTTTGTGTCTTGATAAACTGTGTCCTTCGTAAGAGGAAAAAGAGCAGTGGTTCCCATGAGGGTGCAAGATAAATGTTAGGTATGGGGATATGATTACAGAGGCAGGAGATGAAAAAAAAAACACATTTCTGCTTCTCAAAATTGTCAACTTTTCAGACTGTTCTTCAAGGTTGGTGTACTGGCTTGAAATAAAATCTAAAAAAAAATAAATGAAAGATCCTGAGAAAGGAAGGTCACTCTTCACATGAACTGCTCACCATTCTCAGGCATGCAGCCTTTGAGGAGCTGTCAAAAGCTGACATTGCTTCAAGAGTAACAAGGAAAAGAAGGTAGGAGCTACTGCTTTAAAGCAGTGGTTTTGGAACCTCTTTTCAATCATTTAGTAAACCCCTGACTACGTGACATATGTTATGGGTGATATATTTCATGCATAACAATAAACTGTGTGAACGTACTATGCAGGAAGTTTTGGATTATTTTTGTGAGCATCAGATTAGTTTTCCTAATATTTTTAGAAACTTTTTATACAATTTTCGGTCCGTATTATGTATTTTTAAGTACTTTCCTAATAAAGGACAAGGCTGTTGAATGTTGTGAAGGAAAATAAATTCATAAAATGCTGGGATATTTGGCTCACTGCATTTTTTTCAGTTATCATACACCCCTTAAAATAAAGAAGAACTGCTTTAAAAGGAGTGTGCTGTTCATTTGTTACACAATCCTGTGATAAGATGTGAATTTGCTCACACGGCTGCTTATTATCTCATTTAATTTTTCAGCGAACATCACAGATTGTTCACAGTCAGCCTCCACATTAGCTTGCCTGAGGGTCTCATTGGGATTTATAGCTTTGACTGCTACACATGCCAAACAATCTGTGTGTTTAAACATCAATGCATGGACGTGAATAACATTGGATTAGCTTTTAAGTTAACCAGATATTTTACAGTCACACTTACTCTCCCTTCGTCATCACTGGGCTGGAGGAAGCGCAGACACTCTGAGTAGTTGGTCCATGTTTTGTTCCAGCGGTCCACAAACACCCAGGAACCATTGCCGTCACACTTCCTGTAGGCATGTCCTGTAAACACATACTTTTAAATTATTATTGACATTTACAACGCTTAGTCAGTCCAGTAACCTCACATAATTTCCATCATAGCTCCACTCATCTTCATCCTAAGCAGAGGTCTATTCAGCCAGCACTTGTGTGAGTATGTAAGACCTTTAGCAATTTAACAAAACAGAAAAAGCTTTAACTGTAACAGTACTCTCTACATTTAACGTTCCTTGCAATTTTCTAGCTCTTGAGTGTCAGTGATGGTACATCTGCAAAAACAAACAAACAAACTGTTAACCTTTGTGATTGAAGTCATAGATGTAAGACGGGCAGGGAACCTTGGTAACCAGCCCAGGGGAGCCATGTGGCCAACAAATAAGACCGTCCCAGTCTGGAGGGCACGTCTCATCTACAGGGAGAAGAGGAAGAGTAACCCCTGAAATTCCACCAGGCACAGCCTTTATAAAACCGCATCTGGCTCCGTGATCCGCACGTCTTCAAATCCCACCGAGAGAATTTCAGAAGAGGAGCATCTACAGTGTTTATTGCCTGCAATACGTTGTTTGCTCGTGTATTTTGTCTTTAAAGAGGAAACAAACACTGTTGATGTAGCATGAAATGTGTCTTTTATGTGTATTTTATTTTGAAAACTGACCGGATTCTCTAAGCCGTTTCTGTATCTGACTTCCTACCAGTGTGATCTGCTCTGTGTTGCTTGATGCGAGTGGGTCACAGCTTCCGTCAAAAGTAGACTAGCCACGTATTTTATGCGGAGCAGTGCAGAGACCAGATTCTGAGACGCTTCTGACTTTAGAGCATTGCCTTGAACGGGCGCGATCAGCTGTGGCGACCGCAGCCAGAGCCGGAAGGCGTCACAGCCAAGGCCTGGTGGAATTTGGGGGCAAGAAAGAGTCAACATACTGTCATCGGGTATGTGGTCAATGGTCATTTTTAAGCAATTTTTCTTGCTGAGGTTTCTGGAGGTCCCATTAGTATTTACACAGCAGCAACATGTGGATCCTTCGTGAGCTGAAATTAAACCGACCTACCAGCTGACAGGAGGTTAAAAACTCTGGTCACACAGCTCTGATCTCACCTGTGACAACCAAAATGTTATCTACAATGCATCAGTTCTGCAGCACAACAGATAGACCCTGTACACGATCATGAACCATACAAATGTAATGATCAGCTAAATATAGTAACGTTGCTAACATACATTTTTTCATGCTGTGAGGGAAATGTACCTGCTAGTTAAATGTTATACAACATGTTAAAGCAGCAGCAAGGAGCGTTAATGTTTTTGTTGATTCTGGTTTTCCCTGTGGACAAAAGCGGTAGTGTTTCTACCGTCTTGTTTCATTGATTTCAAGTGGAATCCATCCGAATCCGACAGGCAGACATTAAGAATAAATAGCCTTCTTCTTCCATAGTGTTCTGGCTGATGGTCTTCTGTGCTTATGTTTGTCATATACAGGCATCAGTATTAAACTGATGAGTTTCAGTTAAAAATCGTAGGTTCAAATAAAATGCTATTGTTTCTATTAATACTTATCTCCAAACTAAAGCTTCAGTGGTAACAACTAAATGTCATCAACATGGATCCATTTGTGGTTTAGTACCTGAGTTTTTAGAAACCATAATAACCCTTTCCTTTTTTCCTGTTATTGCTTCACTCACTGCTGATTTTTCAGCACCCTTCGAACTGTTAATAGTTTTCTGCTCCATTGAACAAAGGTGAGCAACTTTATGCTGTCGCTCAGTTGTTAATTAAATCACCATATTCATACCATTGTCTGATTACAACAGAAAACTGTGTCAATCAGATCAACTAAATTGTGAAATATAATATAAGTGATTATGGAGTGCAACAGATCAGGTTATCCTGCTGAGACAAAACAGATTAATCAGGCTGTGTCTCGTGTCCACATGAGATTAAGACTGTAATGAACAGTTTTGTTTGTCACCTGAAATAAGGAGGGAGAAAAGAAGATTTAACAATTTTCTTATTGTTTCTCTATTGTTTTGTAATT